TGGGAGCTAGAAATCTGAAATATTTAAGGGGATGTTCCTCGTCCGCATAGGAGTGAATGAGTTTATAACCAGCCACCATTTGGGCGTGCTTCCCACGTACGGGCTAGTGAAAAGCTCGGATGCCAGCGAAACTAGAAGATTGAAATTTTAGGAAGTGTTCCGTGTCCACATACAACCGAATGACTTCATATTCAGCCCCCTCTCCCCTCCCCCTCCCCCGATGTGCGTGGTTCTCACGTACGGGCCCGTGAAACTTTTTGACGGGTAGGTTGCTAACTCGGGAGCCAAAAAAGCTAGAAAGCTGAAATTTTATTGGGAGATTTCCCGACACTCTTGGTGGCAAATCTCAGTTCTCTTAACCAGAATCATCCGTTGGGAAAAACGGTGCCGTTTGCGACCAAAACCTGCGGAGAACTATGCAAAAAACGTGCCTTCGTACCGGCAGTGGATACGTCGGCCAGTTATTTGTGTTTGTGCTCTTATGTGTGCTGTGAATCATCCGACACAACGGCGCAAACTGCAGTCTGAAACATTCCTGTGATCCGTGAGTGTCTCTGTCATCGTCTTCTTAGCTTAGTTCTTTTGTCTCAATTTTTTATCCGCCTTATCCACAACATAACATGCACATGTGTTCTGACAAAACCACCACGTACGTACGTCATGTCTTTCGACCGTAACTATGACATACGTACGCGTAGCCTCTCTTTTTTTTTTGTTTTTTTTTTGTTTTTTTCAAGGGATGTTGTTGAGTAATTGCTTCCTTTTTACGAATTATAAAAGACATTTTTGCAACGACTCGTAAGCCCATGTTAATTATTATCGTTTTAGTTGCTGAGACATCGACAAGATGTATTCGCTTTGATGTTCCAGGAGCAGACAGCAGGTTTGTTTCTTTTTTTTGTATTTTGGCAGCCATCTATGCTGCAAAAGCCTGGGTCCGTTCATAAATAAAACTAAAATGATGCGAAATAGCAGTGTTACAACTCTTTCCCTAGTTTTTGCATAATTCCGGGGTGGGAAGGGGCTCACCGCTCCCTCATCTCTCGTCGTTATCCGCAGAAGCCCCATTCTCCCCCACTCCTTATTGCTCCTTTCCCCTGCAGTATTCTGATCTAGATCCGCCTATGACGGGGTTGCAC